CAAAGACGCAAAGGATTATGGGGATGTGAAAGTCGAGAATACCTCGAAAAGTAAAATTAACATGACAAAAATGAATGTACTGTCTGTTTACACGTATACTTAGCAACTACGGACACCAAGTATAGACCACTTGCATCACGTCGGAATGCAGCTCATTTTGGAGGACATAGTAATGGGTTCCCAATTCTCAGGAGATTAAAATTCATTTGTTTTGTCCTTCAAATTGAGCTGCATTGACGTCGCGTGCAAGAGGTTTATTGAGCAATTCAAAAGGCCTCTGGGTGGGGAGGGGGTATTTACCGGTGTCTATGACCCAAATCCATAAGATCGCAATCCTATCCTACCTATTATTTTGACCTTCTCTAAAATGACTGAGGTGTTATCTCATTCCAAGTCAACAATACTCCATTTTACAGCTCCGTTCAGTGACCACAAATAATAGTTCCAAGCCGAGGCTGGAGTTACCGCGCATGATAAACTGTAGTTTTGCTATGCGCGGAAACTCCAGCCTCGGCTAGGAACTATTATTCAGGGTCGCTGAACGGAACCGTAAAATGGAGTATTAATAATCGATATCTTTGTTTGACCAGGTAAACTGAACCTTGTGGACTTGGCCGGCAGTGAACGCATCTCCAAGAGTGGATCGGAAGGGGCTCGTATGAAGGAGGCGCAGAATATTAATAAGTCCCTTTCGTCCCTCGGAGATGTTATCCATTCATTGAAGAGCAAAAGCTCCCATGTTCCATACAGAAACTCCAAATTGACTTATCTCCTACAAGAATCACTCGGTAAGTCTTGTGGAACGTGCTTAGTGTAGCCTGTTTACAGCCGCTTCCCGCCCCTTCCCCCCTAAGGGGAATACTGATGATGACAGACGTTTCTGTCGAAACATGTCTCAAATTCAAAACGTAGGACTTGTATTTATTTCAAACTTGTATATTCCTGTTATCTCTGGCCTTAAAAGGTTAAATACCAGCCTGTGACTCGGGATACTGAGAAATCACTCTCATCGACGCAAAACTAAATTAGGATATACGAAATGTATAAATATGTCGGCCCTCTTCCCCTTAGGCCCCGTCCACACTATTCCGGATAAATTTGAATCCGAATTTTTATTCATTCGGTTAGGCCTAGTCCGGGCGATTCACCGAAAACGAATTTTTTCGAAGACAGTCTCCAGAGTGGAACAATTTGAAAACGCCGGCTAGCCGTATTAGTGTGGACGGAAAACTTTTTTTTCGGTTTCGGTTTGAAAATTCGGATTCAAATTTATCCGGCATAGTGTGGACGGAGCCTTATATCTATTTGCCTCCGTCGAATCTTTTCAAAACGCCTAACATTCTCCTTTGAACCTACTTAGGTGGTGACTCAAAAACACTCATGGTCGTTCAAGTCGCGCCTGTCGAAAAGAATGTCGGAGAAACCGTGTGTAGCTTAACGTTCGCTCAACGAGTACGAACAGTTGAACTGGGGCAGGCTACCAGAAAAACTGAGACTGCTGCTGCTGTGCAGTTGAAAGACAGGCTCAGAGAGTACGAGGTATGAGTAACTAATTTTTATTGGTGTGTGTATATACACCTATTTCAAAAAACGTTGTTGGTCGGAAATCTGAAATGGGTAATCTGAGACTAAACTGAATTTTTGTACTTTTATGTTTTCTGGCTAAAATACAAAAAAATCACATTTCTATTCTTGGTTTGCAATCAATCCCAAGAGAGCACAATAACAAAAGGGATGTCCGCCATGTTGGAAGATATAACAAAAGAATTCATTGAAAAATCTTTTGTCAAATTTTTCCAACATGGCGGCTATGACGTCTATTGCAAACGAAGAATTTCAAAGGTCACGCTTCATATTCCATTATCAAAGCAAACTACGTTGTTCGGCTGTGTATATATTTCATTTTGCAGCGTGTTACTCAGTCTTAGATTTCAGATTTCAGATGTCCGACCGACAAGGTTTTTTGAAATAGGTGTATGCATGCTTTGGGTATTACGTAGAGTACGAGGTATGAAGTAGACAGTGATTAGGGTACCTTAGATACTATAAATCTTGAACAAGGACGTAAGATCGGACAGGGGGATCTGGAAATTAAAAGGTCTTACTTCTCGTTCTCTGGACGCAAACGACCGGAAGGTGCTAAATATCTGAGAAATAGCTTGGGGAAACGCCTTAGCTTTTCAGTCGTCGTTCACACTCAATTACATATATATTTATTTTAATCTATGTTCTTGTTCAGGGATCACCATCCAGAATGAAGACCTCTTCCCTACCAAGGCCAAGAATACGATAGGTCCTTCGTACGTTATGTTTCTTATTCCTTAATCTAAAACGAGCAAATATAACATGGGGTACTTGGATACGATTGGGCTAATTCATGACACATAAATTTGTAAAAATTTATAATTGGTTTCTTTTTGTGACCATCAAATACTATGGCGGCCATGCATTGTTATTGCATTCTTTGATGAATGACTGCAAACAACTTTTGATTTTTTTGCAAGGGAAAAGCAAGGGGGGAGGGGAGGGGGAGTATTATAACTAATTTAATATAAATTATATTTATTGTAACTAATTATATATCTAAAGGGATAATTTAATTCGACTTTGTATCATCACAATTGTACATAACAATGTTTTTTATTGGATTTTATACAAAATCACTGCCACAGAATAAATTTCACAAATGATCTTTAGAATTTTTTTACTAAATTTCTCTTTGACCGAGACAGTACAGTGCAAAAACTAACTTGCACTATTGCCAAAATTTGGATTAAAAATGAAGTCGATTGGAAGCATATGGCCAAAAGCTATGAGTTATCAAAGTCATGCACTGATTGGTTCGTTGGTAAATTTATTGATTGCGTTGAAAATTGCTGAAAAAATTGAACAAAATTGTGTTTTTGATCATTGTTAGAGCGCATGCAGTAAAACCATGAAATAAAAACAAAGTTGATACTGACAAATAGTAGTTATTTAGTGACTAATAGCTGCTGTCACCGAACCAGAACATTCACTACGCAAAAGACAAATACACAAGAGACTATTTGTGTCTTGAGAGACTATTTGTTGTAAAGAATGTTCTAGTTGAGTGATACGAACTATCAGGCCCCGTCCACACGTATCCGCAAATTTTTGTATCCGCAAATTTTTTTTGCGGATACGGGTTGCGTCCACACGTGTCCTCAAATTTTTGTGACCGTATCCGCAAATTCTACGAAAACGGACACGCGTGGACGGTGAAAACGATTCGAATACGCTGCGTGTGGACGCAAACATTTTCGTATCCGCAAAAAAAAAAAAAAATTGCGGATACAAAAAATCGCGGATACTTGTGGACGGGGCCTCAGTGACTAAATAAATACTATTTGTCAGAATCAACTTTGTTTTTATTTCAAGGTTTTACTGCATGCGCTCTATGCTTTTAGTGTTTTCCTTTTATTTTGCACAAACCTTGTACAACTCCGATCCTTAAAATATTCAGGTCACACCTTATAACTCCGATTCTATATTTTAGATAGAAGCACCTAGTAAATATTTATAAATAAGTATGTTTTAATAATAAATCAGTGCTATCGATCGCATTGGGTCTCGAACATTTCTCTCCCCCGGAGCCTGCGTTCCTCATGGTTATCATGCGGAGCAGATGAAATGCGCGCATGCGTAAATTAATGGTTGCACAGGCGAGGGTACCTAGTAGCTGGCCTCGCTTAGTAATTGGACTAGTTCACTATCGTCCTGACTGCTTAGTTCCTCAGGACTATCAAACTCCAACACACGACCATCTCTCATCACTGCCACCTTATCAGTAGCCATAATAGTGTCCAGTCTATGCGCAATGGTTATGACCGTCCGATCCTGGAAATGAGTTCTTATGATCTCTTGTATCAAGGTGTCAGTCCTGGAATCAGTGATCAAGTCATCTTCTTCGATGATTAGAATCCGCTGACCTTGCAGTAACGCATGTGCAAGGTAAATTAATTTCCGCTCCTCGTTAGTGTAATATGACACTGATCTCCTTAGGTTAGATTGCACCATTTTGTCAAGTTTCAATTGCTCTAACACCCTCAGTAAATCTTCGTCCTTATATCTATCAAGCGGGTCGAGATTAAACCTTAGTGAAGTGCTCAGGAGAAAAGGCTTTTGAGGGACGTACACGATACGTCGGCGTAGATCCCGTAAAGAAATTTGYGAAATATCCAAGCCATCGATAATGATTCGTCCATTCGGCTCCGGCATACGAAGCAAAGCGGCCACAAGTGAAGATTTTCCGGCACCTTGTTGACCAACTACAACTATTTTCTCTTTGGGGAGAATCTTCATGTCAATTGATTTAAGTGCTTCGGGTCCCCCCTCGCTATAGTTCAGCGAAACATCCTCGCATTTAATAGCCCCCTCATGAGGCCAGTCTTTGAGGTGGATGTGCTTTGATGCGTACCCTGGTTCCGGTTCTAGGCCTGTGTAGATTGAAATTCGTTCAAATGAAGCCATGGTGTTTTCAGTTTCAGCAGTCACGTGAATGACCCATTGTGTTAATCCAAGAAGCTGTATGGCATACAATAATGACAAACCAGTGTAGGCTAAAAAGAATAATAATTATAATGATTAAGGTTTGCGATTTTTTCCCAATAGAGGCTTTACACCATCACGTGATGGCAGCAATGACAGGAGGCAGGGACAATTGAATCTGGTCTAATCTGATTTACACGAGAAAGAACTCAGTTTCCAAGGAAAAAAGGCTAAATGTTGTGCCCCTGTCATGGCTGCCATCACGTGATGGTGCAAAGCCTCTATAAGTACTCAGAGACAATTTGGCATGATTGGAAAACTTTACCGTAGGGAGTTGCCGTGCCGTGACCTAGAGTTCTGATTGATTGAGAAGTGATTAATTCGGATGGCAAATTTCAAACCACAAGAAACTTTCTAGGTGCAAGTGTTCGTTGTCGCCTCAACACTCAGGGGAAAAAGAAATGTTCCTTCTTTTAACAAGTGCTCAGACATTTTCTTGCCGGTGCGTATTTATAACGAAAGAAACCTCTTATCTCTGGGCTGTTCCTTAAGTCAGGGCACGGCTAAGTCAAAGATCAAATTGGGGATCTAGCGTGATTTGGATTTTGCGGAGATGTGAAAACCAGAGATTCCAGAGAGTCGAGGCGAAAGCCAAAATCAAACTATCGAACAATAACATGATAGATGCATGTTCTCTCACCTGCGTCTGCTGTCGTCAACACAGAGGCAATACCAATGCTGGTGATGAACAATGAACACAGAAGGTCGACTCGTAAACACAGCCAACGTGTACCCGCGAAGGACATCACATATGGTCGGGATTGGGTGTCTAAGAACCTATCGAAAAACACTGAAAATTATCCTGAGTGTGAGACTAGCAAAGCAATGCCTCAAGGAGCGAGTGCGAGGTAAGATGCTAATGGGAGATCGCGGAGTTTGTCCTCCCCCAAAGTTGCGCGCAYGGAAGAGTCACACACGCATCGTCGCATTGTGTGAGCACGCCTTCAGATTTCCCCTATAACAAAACCAATTTCTTCTATATTTTCCTAATGCTCTCCTTTACTTAGGAGGATAACTAAGAGAGGTGTTTTCGTACATATGTTCATCGATTAAACACAAACCGAGGCTGCTCGGTATTAAATTTCAAAGAACGGCACAAATTGAAGTCACTTGAACTGCTTTGAACCAATGTATTATGTGGACGGTTAATATTTACTCACTGGTAAAATCGTTGTAAGAATCGTTCCTGCGTCTTAAAAGCCCTAATACAAGTCAGCCCAGATAGAGTCGATGAACAGTGTGAAACAGCATCACAGAGATATCTTCTTTCTAATCTTTTAAAATCTTTTGTCGATCTCAAAACGTATCTTCTCAGACACACAAATGCTACCATCAACGGGATACCCGCTAGAGACACCCAGTAGTTAACCGCAATAGATAATATTATGATGGACGTTACAGACAGAAAGGCCTGGATGCTCTCGATGAAGCCGTATGGAAGATGGTCGTCCAAATCGGCGACATCTTTGGAAAACCTGAAAAGATATGACATTGTAGGATTAGTTTAGATATTGAAGATAGAATAGTAGAATATGCAAAGATGGATATCTAGTATGCTTCCAGAATATTTCAGAACATGCGCAATAAAAGACAAGTGGTTGAATGGATGGACCACTTTCTGAGCATGCGCAAAAACTCGACCACTACGAGCATGTGCATTAACAAGGGCTTAATCGACGACTCCAAGCATGTGCGCAGTGTCAGCAGGCTAGAGGCGCCAAGTCTAAGTATGTGCGAAGTTGATTGGACGACTCCTATCGCATCATGTGCGCAATGTCAGCGGGCTTGAGGCGCCCAAGTCCAAGTATGCGCAATAAAAAAATAAAATAAATAAAATAAAATGGATTGGACGACTCCGAACATGTGCGCAATGACAGTTGGGGTTGGGGCACCGTTTGAGCATGGCCAGTAACAACAAGGCTTGATATAGGCAATAACAATATGGTTTGCTCTATTGCTCTATTGCAACACTGGCGTGGTTCGAGGATAACATTCAACATACCTGTTTACTATTTTGTCCACTGGATTCGAGTCAAAGAAAGAAACTTGAGCCTTCAGGACAGCGGTAATCATATTATCGTGAAAAACTGCTGACGTCTTCAAAAAAGAAAGGAACAGACTCAATGCACGACTGAAGACGAGTAATATTGATATGACCACTAATCCATAGAAGATATAAATGTTGCTACGTTGTTGTTGGCGACTAAAGTCCATTTTACTCCACCTTGCCAACCACCAGTCTGTCACCATTAGAATGACTTGTCCAGCCATTAAAACAATTACCAGGAAGATAAGTACCACTGTGCTCCGACCACTTCTAAAGTATCTCCAATACACCGACCACGGCAGCGTCCCGACCAGTCGGTCCTCTTCGACCTCCCTGTGATCATGGTGACAACTTGATGTGTTTTCAGTCATTATTGAATCGTTACTCGATGAACTCAACGTTCTACTTTTAGCGTGTTTAACCTCGTATATAGGAATGTCTACACTCTGCAGATCAGTTTGGACCGTCTGTCTCAAATTCATGCTTTCTAAAGCTTCCGTCAGCTCAGCGTACGTTCCTTGCTGCGTGAGACGGCCATCTTTAAGAATTATCACGCGATCACAATGCTCTAGTAATTCAGGGTCCTGTGAGACCAGTATGCGACAGCTCTTTGTAAGAAGCTCGAGTAAGACTTTCTTTATGAGACCCTGACCTGTTTTATTATCTAGCGAGGTAAAGGGGTCATCAAGGAGGTACACATCTGCTTCACAGTATGCCGCTCGAGCTAGACTGACTCTTTCTTGTTGGTCTGTAGTTAGACTTATTCCTCCATTGCCAATCAAGGTTAAGTCGCCTGAGAATCAAAAAAGAAAGCAATATATAGGACGTAGCTTATTTAATTCTGAGACAAGGCGATGCAAGGGGGTACACTGAGCTCATAACAGCGAAAGATTGAAGAAAAGAATAAGCGAGGCAAGGCAATTGAAGTTTGTGCATGGAAGGTATAATGATTAGGGGCAAGGCAAGGCAAGGCAAAACAGTGCCAGATATCGAAGGTCAAATACTAACGAATATTGGCAATCGATTCCTTGTGTTCTCTCACACTTCTTCTGCAAGCTATAGCTGAAAACAGAACACTTTTGGGGAAAGGAAGTTAGGAAGAGTACGCACCATCCGTTTCTATTGATAAAACATATTCTCAAAACTCACCATTAGGGAATTCTCCTATATCTTTATCCAGTGCGCATGCATAAATAACCTTCCAGTATCTTTCCTCTGCATACGGAGCATCAAATAAAATATTATCCCGTAAAGTTCCCGCGCACACCCAGGGTACTTGCGGGACATAAACCACTCGTCCCGTCTCAGTAAAGTTTCCACATACCAAAGAAAGCTCTTTTAGTATGGCCAACAACAGTGCGGTCTTGCCGCTTCCTGGACATCCTATGACTCCAACCAATGGTTTGTCGCCCAGCTCTAAAGATATCTCATGAAGCGCTGTCGATGCTCTTAGATGACTCCACACAAAAGATGCTTTCTTAAGACTAACACGGCAAGGATTTTCCAGTTTTTCTTTTATCTCAGGAGTGTCATCTTCTCGGTACCCAGATCCCAACCCATTAAAACTTAAAACCTTCATTTTCTTGGGTGTTTCCAGTGGATCAAAACCAGCGTTAACAAAAAACCTAGAATTCCCTATCAATTGGCTGTAATTATGTTTTGGTTTCTGGTGTAACTCCTCTTCTTTCATGAAGTTTTCAATGCGTTGTATAGCAACGTACGCCTCTGGTATACTCAGCAGAGCACGTGTTATGTACCCGAGAGCAGAATGTACTAGACAGACATACAGGGCAACTGTGGCTATGATTTTCTCCGGAGTCAATTCCGTACCAAGGAACGCAAGGGATGGGAAGATGATGAGCGAGACAAGATGGTGTGAACAAAACTGGATTATCTGTCGTAACGATGACACCAAAGTACTGCGGCGAAGAAACTTGAGCTCGCGACTAGAATTCAATAAATGCACAAGAATTACAGTCACACCAGCTCATGCGTTCCTATCAGGTATCAAAGATTCAGGTCATGCATTATCCGAAGTTTGATTTCCTTCCTACTTTGAATCTTGAATTGATGAAACGAACGTCGTAAATTTCAATCGCGGTATTTACCTCAAAACATCTAAATGTTAATTCGTGAAAGGACTTTTTAAACAAAAACATCACGCTAAACAATTAACCTAAAGATAGCTACAACTGTATAAATATTTTTAGCTTTACACGAATCTGGGTACCCCCACCTATAGTGGCTTTGCACAATCACGTGATGGCAGTCATGACAGGAGTCACAGCAATAGAGTCTTTCCCCTGAGAAACTAGATTCTTTCTCATGTAAATCAGTTTAGACCATATTGAATCGTAACTGCCTCCTGTCATGGCTGCCATCACGTGTTGGTGCGAAGCCTCTATAGGTCTTAAAAAATCGGGTCCCTAATTTTGGCCATTGCTGTGATGTCATCATACCTTCTGATGTTCCTGACAAGGGTCCTTAGCGGCCATTCCCATGCATTGGTCTTTACAGTTCGTATTCCAAGAATCACTTCACTAATCAGATTCACTCGTCGCCTTGATTCCCTCATTATTTTATAGTGCAAATTTGCAAAGATCCTTCCCATCACGCCTTGCAGGGGAATCAAGAACACGACAAAACCGCTGGCCACTATACTCAACCAGCCAACCTGTTGCCATGCCAACGCGGTAATAACAATAATTTCCAATGGAAACATTGCTATGTGCGTCATAAAGTGACTGGCCTCTTCGATTTTTCCACAGTCGAGATGAAATAGGGCAATCAGGTGACCGGAAGTGACGTCATGGATTGATCTCTGACTAAGCCTCAGTAACTATGGAAAAAGAAATGAGAAATAGGATTGTGAGATTGAGGAATAAAATCGTAGGAATGAATTAAGGGACGAATCCAAGAAGTTACAACATCATTTGCCAAAAAATTCAGCTCTTCACTTATGTTCCACGGGCTGAAAAGTCTCCATTCAACTTTCCAATCGAAAAAAGGAAAAATTTACCAATATTATGCAAAAAGAACATCAAGGGTGGTGTGGTGTTAGTACACCCACCTGTTATCTCATGTCTGTTGTCTCGGGTTTGATTCCTGGATATTCACCATCACACGTGAGGAGAGTTTATTGGTCTGGTTTTTCCTCCGCAAAACGCACTTAATTCCAATTCAATCTGCCGTTAGCCGTGACTCTGATCAGCCCAGACATAGTTTCAGAGATTCAAAAAAGTTGATGTATATAATTTGTTTTACRAAAAGTGAAGTATGCGGTTACCTTTTTATACATCAGGCCCATGATAGCTGTCTTGAGCTGCGCGCCAAATGTCTCAGTCTTGTATAAGAAGGAGTTTCTTATGACCCCATACATCATAGCTACACYGCCCAGTGTTCCCACGTAGATGTAAGGACTTTTACTTTCTCTTCGTTCTGATAATGTCTGTAGCTCTCGAACAAGAAGACCAACCAGGACTGGCATGAGGACGCGAAAAATAACGTTAAGGATGACCAGGATTAAAAGCATGACTAAGTTGAAGGTAAAACACTGAAAGGAATTGTGAAGAGGTGTATTTAGTTGACAGGGAAAAGTATTACGCGCAAGTGAACAATCGTATTCTGTGTCACCAATAATAATATGCACGTGAATTCCCATCCATCCATCCCTCCCTCCCTTCCTCCCTCCCTCCCTCCCTTCCTCCC